ATCCAGATTAAGACTGTATTTACTAATCATAAATGGAAAAGCTCACTACAATTCAACAACCCTAAATATTTTAAAAAGAATTTTGAATTTATTTTATGTGTATAAACATCGATTTTTGTAAGTACAGATGTCCAAACGCGACATTATCAGAAAATAAGAGAACTATTGGTAATTTATTTGTTAAATTTATTGGTAATTTTTAATATTTCTTAACCAAGTGTTTTCGTAAGTTAGACTAAAAGCCAAGCTACCTTCACTAAAATATTAGATTGATTAGAATATTTTCTTACTTTTTAATAAATTTTTGATTATTTATTTCGGTTAGTTAAAAATGTATATAAAAAAGGCGTTTACGTTACATACAATTTAATGTTTCAGTTATATCATCCTTAGAAATAATTCCCAAACATAAATTTATCGAGATGTGTATCAACACTGCTTATTGGAAATTTAATCTATTAACTTAAAATTAAAACTAAAATAAAAAACTTCAAGAAATAGTTTCGCATTATCACTTTTATTTGAACACACACACACACACACACACACACACACACACACACGTGTGTGTGTGTGTGTGTGTGATGGGGAAAATGAACGGATGTCCCCTCGGAGAGGCACCGTGCCTTGAGAGACTATTGGGCCCTAAGCTCACATTTGACCTCAAGTGAAACTTGTACATACGAGTCATCACTGAAAGTTAAATGGTTGGTTCCCTGAACCGCTCCAGTAAGTACCTGACTCCACGTACTATCCTCTACCTTTCCAAGAGCCAGATCAGCCGAGAATGGAATACTGTTGACATATTTAGGCGGGATCTGCACATACTACACTTTACAAGCACGGTAGAATCCAAAATCGTCTCCCCATCTTGTGGGTGACGAATTATTCTCCACCCTCTAAGCTGTCTCTATTTCCGTGGAAAGTGCTAGGACGAACTACAATCCTTGCTTTCGCCATGTTTAACCTTCGCAAGCTACCCACATTTCGTCCATATTCCATCGGCAAGAAGTAAGTTCCACTCTAACAGTTTCTTCACACGAATCGCTGTTCTGTGGAATCAATTTCCAACACGATGACTACTATCTTAACTGGTTCAAGTCTAGGGTTAATCGTTACTTTTCTCTCCTATACGCACAAACCTCCTTTTAACGTAACCATCTACCTCAAGTGGCCCTTGTATAGGGTGAACCTTGCTGTAAAAAAGAAGAAAATACACACATAACTTGTAAATGTACCGCTGGGGTATATGATTTCAGGTTAAAAACATTTGTTCACGGCTATTAAGACATATTGAATTGTTTGTAAACATAATGTGCAGAAATAGTTACTTGGTTTTTATTTATTTACGCAAATGACAATAGTCAATATTTGTAAACCTGAGTTGTTGAAAAAAAAACCCCTGCTTTTTGTGTTTGATTGTGTCGTCATCAGTTGATTTTCCCAGGCACATGACGTTCACACGGCCTTTCTTTGGGTGTTAGTGAACTGCATCAAGATCAGAATGTAAGTATGTCTTATGTCCCCAAATAGGCCAAGGTTGATATCGACAATTTTATCGATTGTCGAGATTTACACTGCAAACAAAATTTATCGGCTTACAGCCACATCACGTTGCAACACCGGTTCTCGTACTATCAGTGAAGTTAAGCAACGTTGAACCTATTCAGTACCTAATGGGGTGAGAGTTTGGGAAGACAAACTGCTGTAAGATAGGATATGCGAGTGGTGTAATGGTTAACGACTCTGAATTGTTAATGGGGGAGAGCATTCCAATTCCACTTGGGTTCGTTATATTCATTTACGCACAAATACTCGTGGAAAAGATCTGAATTCATCTCATTTACCCCCTAGCTAAGGGTTAATTAGGAAACTATCATTATCACCCAAAATAAAGAAAATTGCGTACAAAATATTTCGGCATTAAATAACTCATACAGGCTGATATGCCGCTAAATAAAAATAACCAACAATTTATCGCCTCTTCTACGAGTTTTTTTTATAAGAACTTTTAAAAATGTTAATATCAGCCGATTCTTTATCAAGAAACTCGGTATTCATTGCTCAAACAGCCAGTGCTACTCGAGTTACGCTTTTCTTCACTCTGTCAAAATGGTTGGGATCAAAGTGTAGTATCTCCTCTCCAGCGAACAAACTACATTTTATCTCTCATTTGTGTTATTGTCTTCGAACAAAGGGCAACTGAGTCGTATCTGCTGGACAGAGCACAACTGAAAAAAAAAGGTGCCCAGGGGAACAGCTGCTCGCGGCAGTACCTCCCTCATTGCACTAGAGGCGGGGGGGAACGGTAAACATACCGATGCCAGCACAATCGAGGGTTACGGAGGCGGGACTATTTTTGGACTTTATCCGCGCCCTTATTACTCTCATTCCAATATCGCTACTTCCAAGGAAAGTGCTCGGACGAGCACCCACTTCCACGTTAAAAATATTCCCGCGTCCCGCCAATTTAAATCTTCTCGACAAGGACACGCCATGTCACTTACATTAAACCACCCACATCCCCTCCGTATTCCATTGGTGAGAAGTAAGTTCCACTCGAACAGCTTCTTCCCGCGAACCAATGCTCTGTGAAACTGACTCCCAAGAGGATGTTTCTTCGGTCAATACAATCTTAACCTGTTCATGATTAGCGTTAAACGTTATCTTCAAATCCTACCCGCAAAAATTGACTCCTAAAATAACCTTCTACCTCGAGTGGCCCCTGGGCCTTGTAAAGAGAGAACCTTACTGTAAACAAAACAAAACAAAACAAAAAATAAAATAAAATAAACGGAGACTATTTACATTGATCAGACTATCATCCTCATCTTTGTTGCCATATTTATCACAACATTTCGGCCGTTGTACGCTCCAGCCTTCTTCAGCTGGTTGGAATGTCGAACTGAACCCTTTATTTCGCTCGCTAGAGTAGACTGTTCTAGTTCCACGTGCCATGTCTAATGGATGTCAGTTATCAGTTATGTCCTGTTAATTCCACTCTCCTTAACCAGGTATTGAAGTCACACTCTTTGGGTCCTGTCACTGGATCTAACTAACGCCTTTATCCACTGTGCCATGTGTCGACATTCCAACCACCTGAAGAAGACGGGAGCGTACAACGGCCGAAACGTTGTGATAAATATGGCCACAAAGACTGGGATGATAGTCCGAGCAATGTAAATAGTATACATAATAGCTCATCTCAGAAATATAGACAAATGCAAAATAAACGGAGGTAGAAAGTTCTTGTGCGTGTGTGTTTGTGGTGCTTGCTTATCTTGAAAATCTACATTTGAAATCCTAATCTTTATTTGAGACCGAACTGGAGAGAAATCACAACTACTTCACTCACTTGGTCTACGTTTTATTTTATGTTATTCCGATCCAAACATCCAGATACGTAAGCCCCCAACTCCTCATCACAGTACCTTTTATAATAGCATTTTTAGAGTCCATTTTGGGGGTTTGGGTGAGAATGGCGTCGTTAATTTACTACTTTCCACCCGAATGTGCGTTTGATAAAATCCTGGAATTCTACCCCAACGGATGAACAGCTTCAATTTCTAAACACTTTTATTTCACCGTCAATCTGAAAGTTATAAACCCCAATCCTACCAAACACCGCACAGCCACCGGGTTCCAGCAGTTTCACCCCACCCGCAGCTACAACCTCCAAATCATTTCCCCTCGACTACAAGTGTCTGCCTGTTTGTTACAGAAAAAAAAAAAAAAAAAAAAAACAACCCTGGGTAGTGAATAGCTAGAAAGCATCTCAGATTTCCACTGACCGTGCCATGTTGTTAGTCATAAATGGTGGCACAATGCAACTGACGTTGGCAAAGAATCTAGGACACAAGTGACAGTTTTCAAACTCTGGGAACCTTGGAGAGGTTGAAATGTTTATATAATCGCGATTACTCAAGGGGCGTTCTCTTGTTGTTGACACTGTTACAAACTTACTTTTTAAAAAGCCTGCACGAAGGGAGGACTATTCATTTCCTTAGACAAAGTTGGCAATCTGGAATGGGTGAACCGTTATAAAAAAAAAAAAAAAAAAAGCAAAAAAGAACAACTTGCTTTTATTTTAACCAAATAGATCTGATTTTGAAGCTGACATTCAAGCCCGATTTTTAAACTGATTAGTCTAGTGGGGGTGGGTAATTACGGTATTTAAAGAAAGGAATTAGCTACATCGGCGTTCAATATTTATCAAACTTAGTATGTCAAAGCTTCCAATGAAGTTCTAACTCACTAAAGAAGTAATTTACATATATATAAAATCAAAGTGTGTGTGTGTTTGTATATATGCATATGCTTGCATATATATCTATATGGATGTGTGTGTAGATATACATGAATATATTTGTTTTTCTTTCTTTTTCTCTCTCCCATAGTATTTCTCCTACCCACCTTTCTATCTCTTCTAGATTATTTTTATTCTTTCCCTGGGAGTATTTCTTGACTCTCTTTCTCTTTGTGCTTTCTCTTCCCCGCCTCTCTCTCTCTCTCTCTCTGTTTCTGTGCCTGCTCTCTCTCTCTCTCTCTCTGTGCCTTCTCTCTCTCGTTATGCTTTTCTCTTTCCTTTCTCGTTCTGCTTTTTCCTTTCCCTCTATCTTCATTCCTTTTCTCTCTCTCTTTCTCTTACACCCCTTTGTGTCTTCTCCCTCTCGTTGTGGCTTTTCCTTTTCCGCTCTCTTCATTCCTTTTCTCTCTCTACACTTTTTGCCTTCTCTCTCTCTCTCTCTCTCTCTCATTATTCCTTTTCTCTTACCTCTCTCGATGTGCCCTTTCCTTTCCCTCTTCACTCCTTTTCTTTCTCTCTCTCTTTTTGTGCTTTGACTCTCTAGTTGTGGCTTTTCCTTTCCTTCTCTCTTAATTCCTTCTCTCTCTCTTTCTTACGTGCTATCTCTGTTTTTCCATCCCTGTTTATGCATATCTCTCTGTTTCCTACTATCCTCTCAAGATGATCACCAACCCGCGATTTCTTTCCTTTTCAGATGCCGTATTCCCGCTTGGAGCAATGACACTTATGACGTGCAGAATGAAAAACACGAACGTTTCATTAACATGTCCATTCCGTACGTAAAGAATAACCATAAATGGGAACTCAGTAAATGCCTGATATACCAGACTGACCAATTCACAGAATATGATAATTATTCCCGACCCCTGAATGCTTCTATGGCCAAGTGTCACAGTTGGGTCTATGACTCTTCCGTTTTTGAAAGTACTGCCGTTACTCAGGTAATTATCTTTCCCTTTTTCTTTACTTACAATTTACATAATTGTTGCACACTGAATGACATGAAAAAATCTTGTTTATATTTTCAGGAAATGAAAAGTTGTGGAAGTTTATTAATACTGTTTTATTTTTCTATTTGCTTTTCTGCAGGTCCTCATTGACTGAGTTGAATACCGATATTGCATTACATTAGTCTCTTGTTTTTCTCGCCCTATTTTGTATCAGTGGTCATAAGACTGTATTATCTTCGGTTCTATGGAACGCTGTTGGAAAGAAAGAACACAAGAATTTGAATTCCAAGGCTATAGACGAAGCCCGAACTTGTGTCACTTTCAAAATCATTTTAAATATATATAAACTTCCATATATAAAAAAACTGTAGATCTGTCTTCGCTGATTTAAATTTTTATTCAGTCATATATATATATATATATATATATATATATATATATATATATATAAAAATGATAAAAAGTTTTAAGATATGCTATATTTATGGGTAAAAGAGCTCAAAATCAGAGATATAGCCTGTGAAAATAAAAGTGGACACTGACATCTATAGCGAGTGGCGGCAGTCTGTTTCATGCTTGGACGCAATATTCAGGCCATCTCATATATATATATATATATATATATATATATATATATATATATATATATATATATATATATTACAATAAACCTGGATAAACGTGTAGACACCCCAGTTTTTTTTTTTTTTTTTTTTTTTTTTATTTCAACGGTGAAATTGACGTCAAAGAAAATATGTCTCTTGTCAGGGAACGAAACATTCCACTTAACACTTAACTTGGGAGAATCGACCTTTTAAGTTATATATATATATATATATATTAGTTGAGAGTGTGTTCTCGTACCTATATCAGTAAGTCCGTAGCTTAATGATTGGGAAAAATGCATATATTTTATTCCAGAAATATTTGTTAATATAATTTCCTTTCTCCTAACGGAAGTTAATCGAAATATTCTCCAGTAACCACTCAGTGAATATTGTACAGGGAAAAATTCAGGTCGAAATTCATAGATATGATCTGAAAATTCGCTATATTTATAGGAAAAGGATGCTCAGTATCGGGGATAGGGCGTTTTATCGATATAAACAGCATGGACATAGGGATCAACACTGTATGATGATCGCTTATGGTATTAATCTGCCGCTCGCCATGCAGTGTTGATCTCTATGTCCACACTGTTTATGTACGGGCGCGTGTCATTTATATGAAATTGTCTCACTAAGTTTATAGTTTGACGTTCAGTTGTTACATGAATTCTGCTCCGACCTTTCACTGGATTGTGTCTGATCTATGTGATTCCTATTTATTGCTGAATTAACAGAGAAAATTAAAATTTCTGATATTTGGTCAGATGTTGAAAAGTGGGTCAGGACAAGAACTTTTCAGCAGCCTCACACATTTATAATTTTTGTGTTTGTTTATATATGCGAACATATATATGTATATTAGCTCGTTGATGCCTCTGTTGGAGTATAGGAGGCCAGTCTCCCTAATCCAAGAATTTTTTCCTGTGCCTAGTAGATTATTACAAAGTGGGCTTGCTCTAAACACAACCTGTTTTGAATTCAGTTTTCCTTCTGGTACCCAACGAAATTAGAGAGAACAGTCGGTGTTACTTTTTTATCCATATCTAAGGGGAGTAGAGAAATATTGGTATCATATCTTTTCAAGGCGAGCGTAACGGCGATGGCTAGAATTTGAACTCGGCAAGTTAATCCCAAATTCCTTGTCGATATTTTTTTCCCGGGTTACGTATCTTATATGTACTGAGGGCGACAGGCCTGCTGATATCTTGCGGTTAACACGTGTAAATAAATCATCATCATCATCATCATCATCATCATCATCATCATCATCATCCCCTTGACTTTTGTAATCGAGGGGTAGATCCGAATGCAGAAGCTATACTAACTCTTTTCCACAACGGTCTATCAAAGGCAGCCATTAGCAATTCTGGTACAGTCATACCTGTCCAGGTTTTAACATTGTCCAACTAGTTTTTGCTTTGGCGTCCTCTCCTACGTCCACCTACATGATGGCATTGCACTGGCTGTTGTGCCTTTAATATCTCAAACCACGCCATTTGTCTCCGTTTGACAGTGGTGAGAAGAAGTTCCTTGTGGCCCACAAACTTTCAACCCTAGGAACCTAAATGGCTATATAGATAAATATAAAACTGAGCTGAAGTTATAATCAAGTTTTTATAATGATACAATTAAAATGAAACTCAAGCGTTCTAACACTTAACGTGAATTTTGCTATTTTTACTAGGACTAGGATAGCTAATGAAGACCAGCCTCCCCATTTCCCTTCGGCCTTGTGCCACAATTTTGTATTTTTTACGAAATAAATAATCTTAACGTGAATTTTGCTGAAATAAACTCCCTTTTCTGGTGACTTCAATTCAGTGGTGAAACTTGAGAAAATGGAACTATTCCGAATGGTCTTTTGTACATTTACGTGTAGAATATAAAATAAGAGTTCATTGGCTGAATAGAGAACTTTTGAAATATGAGTAATATAACCCAAAGAGATAAAAAAAACAGGAAAGTGAATGATGATTAGGAGTAGAAATTATATAGATTTACGGCATTATCAAGTTGAAGAGAAGAAAATGGAACGAGAGCAAGGAGGAAGAATTAACAAGAAGAATGAATCATCTGTTGTTCATTTAAAAAATAACACTTTCCAATTCGTCTGTTGAATATGCAGGTAGCGTAACGGCTATCGATACGTAATTAGCGAGCCGAGTTCAAATTCCGCCGAAATCTGTGGCACTCATTTTTGCACTAATACCATTGGGAAAGGCCCTAGTTTGTCACTTCTCCCAGTCATAGGATAAATAGTAGAGTAGATTGTACTTTTTAGTCTTGGGGGAGGTGTAGACAGCCTAAGCGGACTACATTGAATTCAAAACAATGGAGAAGGCAACTGGAAATCACCACTCCACTATCTTTCCCAAGAAGCCATGGCAGTTCAGTGATAAAGAAAAAGAATCTATGGGGGAGCCATGATTGCCTACATCCTGAAGGAACATGGCCCCTAAATTATCGCCTCTCTTCTCAAAATCATTTTCTTCATCAATAAGTAATCGATGCATTGATTTCTCTGCCTAAATAACTTACACATTTGACCAATGAATAGTTTACTAACTATTTTCTTTCGTCCTCACCTTTTCTTTTTTTTTAAATAAAAGGTTTAATTGTAATTGCATGTTGCTCATCATCGCAATGAATTTTATTTGAATTTTATGTTCCATATATTTTTGCAACTGTCGACATCTTCTGTTGTTTTTAACGTAACATTTTAGCCGATACACAATGGCGAGAAAAAGAAACGAGACCTCGATGAAATTTTTTTTTAAATTTTTGTAAGATATTTATAAAGATATTGGACAATGTACTTTCAAGAGTAGTATCTGTGGATATTAAGAAGTGTAGTATCTGTGTCTGTATTAGGAGTGCAGCATCTGTGTCTGTATTAGGAGTGCAGCATCTGTGTCTGTATTAGGAGTGCAGCATCTGCGTCCGTTTTAGAGGCGCAGGACCTGCTTTAGGGGTGTAAATGCGTTTATTCAAAATTGCAGTATCTACGGCCATTTAGAACTGAAACGTATGATAATTCGTTCATAATGGTACCTAACAAGAAAAGACACAGATTGGAATGCATGAGGATACTGGAAAATGGACGTGCAAAGTTATGAACTATTAGAGAGAACAAGTAACATTAAATTAATTTATATATTTAAAGATATTACAGTTCATAATCAGTAGTTGGTATGGTTCTAATTGGTATGAAACAGAGCCTCAGCTCAACGTGGGATGCAGAGCAGAACTTTGGGCGCGCCAATCTCTTAATACTGCAATGTCTTCATTAGAGAGAAACATGTCTATTGCACGCGATGTATAGCAAAGTGTTGCGTCATGTTGGAATATTTCAACTTCCGTTTTATCTGTCTTATCAACTTTCTTGTAACATTCCAAAAAGACTGGGAAAGAGAACATGTGTTACGGGATAATGAACATCAAGCAACAGTGATATTTAGTGATGAAAGCAACAATGAATCATATTCTAATGTAAGAGAGTGTGTCTGAAGACAGGTTCGTATAAGGAGCAACACAAGATATAACAACGAAGAATGTAAATTTCTGTATTAAATTTATTGCGGGTTGGTGCTCTATTGGTGCAAAAAAATGATAAAACTCTATAAAACAAAGCATAAAAAATTACTTGCTAAAATCACAACTCTTACCAGATATAGAAGAAAATGAAATGGAGAACTTTGCCATGTAATCGGGCAAGTAACTTATATCATACTAATAAAGACACTGCAAGGTTACAAATGGCTCAAAATCATAGCGCCTGTCTTACGGTGAACTGAGCCAATAGTAACCTATTAAGTACTGATTATAAATTTTAATGTTCTAATTCAGTATTTTTAATATATAAATGAATTCAGTTCTATTTTACCTCTAATTTCTCTTTTGCATGACCTATTTTCAGCATCACCGTGTATTCAGTTTTGTATTTCTTTTCGTACTATGTGAATGTGACTATTTGCTTTTCAGTTCTGAATGACCACAAATATTACTCCAGAAAGTACATTGATGAACACTTGGTAAAAACTTTTTAAAGCTTAGTGTCCAATTTCTTTTGTTTTTGTATTCCTCGTAGCCAAAAGCGTTTAATATTCGTTTAGTACTTTTTTCTTTTCCATTTTCATTCCCATTCCTTCAACTCGACCACGACATTCAACAAAGCGTGAGTATAAAAACATCTTGTGTTAGTCATTCTAACCAACAGA